ATGCATCGTTACAGGATAGCCATTTACTCTTCATCTTCCTTCTCATCATCTTCCTTTTCCTCTTGCTCATCCTCTTCGTCTTCCTTCTCCTCCTCTTCCTCCTCATCTTCTGGTTCACTCTTCTTCTCTGAGCCTGTTGGCCTGCCAGGGCCCTTCTTTCCTGCCTCACTTTTGCCCTTGGCACGGTATGCAGCCGTATCCTTTTCCCATTTCTCCTTTAGCTTAGCTGCTTTCTGTTCATATGGTTGTTTATCTTTGGCTGACTGTTCAGACCACATTTCACCCAATTTTTTTGCCGTATACCCAATGAATAGGCCTGGGTGTTCACTTTGGACCTTTGGGTGGTGTTCAGAGCAAAACAAGAAGAAGGCAGATGGTGGCCTTTTAGAAGCATTGGAATCTTTTTTCTTTCCTTTCTTATCACCTTTGAGAGGAACATAATTTTTATCTCCCTGTTATAGCAAGCTTTGTCACTTTTTGCCATATCTTCCAACTTCAATTTTTCCTTTGCAGACATGGTCTTCCATCTCTCCAAACATTTCTTGGAGAATTTGGCGAAATTGACAGAAGAGTCCTGGTGTTTCCTCTTGTGCTCTTCCCGGCAGGTCTGTACAAAGAAGGCATACGAGGACATTTTGCCCGCGGCTTGTTGGGGTCTCCTTTACCCATGGTGGCAGAACGGTGTCTACTTAGTGTGAGCTTTTCCCCAGAGTCCTGCAGAGCAGCTGGATCTGACAGTGACTCTCCCTTCCCAGAGCTGTGGCGTGAACTCACTTTTTAAAATTTTGAGACAGACTCTTACCCTGTCACCTTGACTAGAGTGCAGTGGCATCATCATAGCCCACTGAAACCTCCAACTGCTGGGCTTGAGCAATCCTCCCGCCTCAGCCTCCCAGAGTGCTAGGATTACAGGCGTGATCCAACATGCCTGGCCATCTCGAACATCTTTCTAGGTTAGAACGTATAGCTTTAACTCCTTTTTATGGCTGCATAATGTTTCATTTTCTGAGCTATACCATAATTTACTTAGCTATTTCCCGATTGATGGATTGTTTTCAAGTGTTCAGTATGAGGAACAATGCCTCAAAGAAAACGCTTCCTATGTATGTTTGTGGACCTCTAGGTAGTACTTTTAGGTAGGCTCAATCCAATTGCTAAAAGGGTCAGCATATATATAATGTGCCCAATATGTTGGGCTGACTTTGCTTCCTGTGAGCAGTATAGGAGAGAGTGCCTTTCTTCTCCCTGGAATTGTGAATCTTTTAAATGTCCCTAAAGTTGCACCTGTCTGTTGTCGCTGCTTACACCTGGAGCTGCACCTGGAGCTTGTAGCTGAAGGGAATTTCTGCCCATTGTTGGTTTCTGTTCCCTTCTGCATTTCTGGCCCAGCCTCCAATTGCTCAGGCCTGAGGAGATAAGAGCCCTCATTTCTGCAGGAAGCTGAGCTTTAGGCCCCTCCTCTCGGTCTCCCCCGGCAGGAAGAGGCTTCAAGTGGTGTCCCCAGGAAAATGATGGTGGCTGTGCCTGGAACAGGAGGGGAGATGTGGAGCCTGAGGAAGGAGGAGGGAAGGCCCAGGGGCACCTGGGTGGTTGAGCTGCCTCAGGACAGGCAGGGAGTGAGGGCTTCACCTAGGGACAAGAAGCTGATTCTGACCGGGAGGGCCCCAGCTGCCATTCCTGCAGGGACAAGTGGTTTTCCTGAGGAGATGGGGTCAAGTCATTGAATCTGAGGGCCCTGGCTCTGTGCCCAGCAGTGTTTCGGGCACAGGGTACAGTGACACAACGGGCAGCAGCCCTGCTCTCACCAAGCTAGCTGTCTGGCTAAAAAAACACAACAAATGCACATTTTCAGCCACCAGGAGGCTCCATCTCCAGGAAATTATGACCACTAAACCCCAAAGTGTAGTGGCTTAGGACCACAAGAGTTTGTCCCATGCCCAAGCTCAGGCCCGTCGTGGATGGCCAGGGGCTCTGCCCATCGCCGTCACCCCAGGGCACAGGCTGACATACAGCTACCATCTTGAACATTGCCAGTCACCATGCCAGGGGGAAAGAGAGCTCCAGGAGGTCTCGCCCTGGCTGTTAAGTATTCCAGCCGGGAAGGGACACACTTTACTTCTGCTCAGGAAGCAGACCTGGCAGGGTGGCACCTCCGTCTGATCCACTCCCCAACCCCAAAAGCAAGACGGCCAGGGAGTGCGATTCCACCGGAGACCACAAGGAGAAGCCCTGGAGCCACCTGGAGACCCAAGTCCTTCCCCTCTACCCCTTCCCCAACCTTGCTCTTCGAGGACTTGGCTGCAGCCATCCTTTCTGGGCTGCTAAACTCCGAGGGTTCAGTCTCTCGGCCCCCCTAGGGGCCACACACCTGTTGAGGAAGGTGCTCCTTCATTGCATGCAGGTAAAATAAAAGCCTCCTGTTATTTCTGGCAGTACAGAGCACCTGAGCTTTACAGCGTTTTGTAAACTGCTCTTTCTTACTGTTTATACTTATTTGTGATTTGATCGTTGTCTTCTCTCCCACTAGAATGTAAGTTCCACGAGGACAGGCCCCATGTTCATCTTTACTCACCTTTGTACTCTTAGTGCCTGGCAGAGCAGACACAGAGTAGCATTCACTTGATATCTGCTGAATCAATGAACGTGGCCTGAGGCCATGGTTCTTCCAGGCTAGATGGCCTTGCTGACTGGTTGGGGGTGTTATCTAGAGGCTACCTGAGCAGCTGGCGGGAGAGACCTCATCCTAGGGGAAGAAGGAAACAGCTTGGAGCTGGCTTGGCAGCGGAGCCCCAGCTTTCCAGGCTGGGCAGGGTGCCGGGCAATTCTGGAAATTGACAGTGAGCTCTGCCCGCAGCACGGCCCCCAGGGGACTCTTGTCCAAGTCCCATGGACGGGATGTCTTCCAGTAACCACTGAAGGAGATCTTCAGCAAAAGCTCTGGGACATGTTGGTTTACAAGGCCTAAAGGACTGAGAAGCCCGAGGGGTATGAAGCCTTCTCCTCATTTCAGCATAGAACCCTTGCTACTTCGGGGCCTCCAGGGTGCCAAGGACAGCCCAGCCTCACACCCCTGGCAGAGATGGCCACATCTAGCAGCCCCTAGTAACAATGCAGAGAGAACAGCAGCTGGGGCTGCATCAAATACCCTGGGGAAGAGGCTGGTGCCTGCCGGAGTGGTGGTGCCCGGCATTGCCGCACTGCGGCCTGCCTGACTTGTTGGTGAGTGAGTTGCAGACATAGTTGACGGGCAATTTGTAGGGGAAGTGAAGTAACGCAGTGGCCCACAGGGTAAGAGACAATAAAATATGGGTAAATGTCACTACTCCGAATTTACACACTGGTCGGTTTGCCTGGGGAAACTTAGGTTAATAATGAAAAAGGAAAAAAAATCTAAACACAGGAGAAAGACTGGCAGGAAGTATATCACCTTGTTGTTAATGGCTATTTCCCGGTGGAATTATATGTGATCATTACTCATTGTCTCTGTGCTTTTTAAAAAACGGGCCTGAAAAAAATTAAACAAAAGAAAGGAAACTTCCCTTCCCCCTCAAATATACTACCAAACAAGAAGCTATTAGAGCACAATTCAAGTTAGTATAGATTTTGGTTGGTTGTGTGGATGAGGCAGGGCTGGTGTGAATCAATGGTACTAAGGAGCAAGCAGGAATCCCAAAACATGAAAGATTGCATTAGAAAATAAAATTCTGAGAGGCGAGGGCAGTGTACCCAGTCCTGTTACATGAGGTAGTGGGCAGCGGGTGTGGTAGGGTCAGGTACCAGAACTCCCCGAAACAGAAGCTAGAATCCAAGTGAGGTCACAGAGGAAGCCAGAGTCATTTGGGTCACTGGGATGGAAGCTGGTAGGTGTGAGGGTGGGCAAGGGAGGGGGGTGAAGGCTCACTGCCGGGTGAGGGCTCAGAGTGAGCTATATGAACCCCAATTCTAAGGACTCTGGATCCAAGGTCTTATCAACCCTAAAAGCCAGACATGGAAGGTGCCAGTGACTTTGGAGCTTCCCACAGGAAAGGACCCATGCAGGGGTGGTGCTGGGTGAGAGAAGCTATATGAAGGAGAACAGAAGATGGGTGTGAGGGAGAAAGGGTGACGTAAGGGATTAACTTCTGAGAGCCGAGATCTGGGTGAAGGCTGAACCTCTCCTGCAGCCTGGGAGCTTCAGAAACTGGTCATGGGCAGCTGGGAGGAGGTCTGCTAACTCCCTGAGAAACTACTGACCTCTCCGTTGTGTCACACTTTGAAGTGTGACTGAAACGGTAGTGGCCATGTGGTCAGGAGTACATTCTCAGCTCTGATCAGCAACACCAGGAGAGGTTCAAATCAGTCCTTAGGATGATTCCATATCTTGGCTACTGTGAATAGTGCTGCAACGAACAGGGGAGTGCGGATAGCTCTTTGAGGTACTGATTCCATTTCTTTTGGGTATATGTTCAGAGGAGGGATTGCTGGATCATATTGTAGCACTATTTTTAATTTTTTTGAGAAACCTCTATACTGTTTTATGTAATGGTGGTACTAATTTACATTCCCATTAAGATTTTACTATGTATACATTTGTCAATGTATCATGTTGTATGCCTTAAATATATACAATTTTTATTTTTAAAAAGTCAGTCCTCACAATCTGTTTTTATTTGGCCATAATGGTGCATTCAGGAGCTTCTGTCCAAGACACAAACCAGGGCATGCCTGTCATTTCTCTACAACCAGTCAGGTTTCCCGAGTCAGTAGTCTGCTCAGGCACAAGAATGGGCCCTTAGAGTCAGCTGATGCATGCGTTGTCTCTGTAACATCTATTTTAGAGGGTATTCAGGGGGTGCATCCAAAATGATGACTAGCAACTACAGCATGTAAGGGCTCCTTCTAAGCATCCAGATTTCCTTTCTTTGTTTCTTCCTTGCAGACTAACTTCATCCATTCAACCATCCATCCATCTATCCACAGGGGCACAAGGAAACTTTTGGAGGCGATGGACATGTTCATTACCTTGACTGCTGTGATGGTTTCATGAGTGTATACATGTGTCAAAACTGATAAAATTGCACACTTTAAATGTGTACCTAGGAGTGTACTTTAATTACATCTCAATAAAGTTGGAAGAAAAGGAACGTAATTAGCAGTAGGTCAAAACTGATAACAACCCAAATATCCATCAGTAGGACAGTGGATAAATTGTGGAATATCCATACAATGTCATACTGAAGGAACAAACTCTTCAAATATACAACAACATGAATGAGTCTCACACACATTGATGGTGATCGAAAGAAGTCAGACACAAGAGAATCCATTCTGTGTGGTTCTATTTACATGCATTTCAAAAACAAAGGAAAGGAAACTGTAGTGTTTAAAAATATGTGCTCAGGGGTAAAAACTAGTAAAACTATAGAGAAAAATAAGAATGTGATTATTGTTAAGGTCAGGGTATTATGGCCTGAGGGGGAAAAGGAGAGGTAGTTTCTGGAAGAGGAGGTGAAGGGGCTTCTGGAGCCAGCAGGATTCTTGACCTGGGTGGTGGTTATGCAGATGTTTGCTTGATACATTTTGTTTTGTGCACATTTTCGAATATGTTTTAGATTTCATAATGAAAAATGGAGCAATGTATATACCTATATTATACTATGCTTGTATGGAAAGATATAAAAAAGAAAGCTTTAATGGTAGTTTCCTCTGAGGAGAGAGACTATGGGATAGTGGGGCCTTATGTTCCTTTTCCTTATGCTTTTCATAATTGAATAACAATTTCAAAAA